ATCAAGAAGAAAAAGATATATATAATTCATAAAAGTAAATTGTGTGTTTTCTCTTCATTTTGTGTATTAAACTAATTTTTACATAAATAATTCATTTAAACAAATAATTGCATATATCTTCTTTAAAATATAATTGAAATATTGTGCTCTTAGCTTTTGCTTCACAGAAGCACAGATTGTGTTAATTACAATTAATTGGGAAGCAATTAAGATATTCAACTAATAAAATATATCAACCCTGAGCTGCTTATTGTGCTTATATATATATATTTTATAATTAAATATTTAACATTGATGTGTTGAAATTCAATTTTTTTTAATTTTTGAACATAATCTGCTTTCATGTATTACAAGAAATTGTGAATTTTTTTTATAAATTAATGAAGTTGTGGAATTTTTTTTTATTTATTATAATATAACTAGAGATAACTAAATCAGATATGTATAAGCATAAAAATTTTTAAAAGCTTTTTCTTGTACAAAAGAGCTTTCTCTCACATATTTTAACTAGAGAGCGATATTGCGCATTTGGTTGCTCATTTTTTTCTGACCATAAAAACTGTAACCAATATAATAAAGAAACTTTATTTTGTGTTCAAAGGTAGAAACATATTGGCGCTGGTCGTCATGATGTTTACTCAAAAATTGCTAAAACTATGCTCACTATTTCTAAATTATATATACATCTTATGGATCAAAGCTTTCTGACAAGAGCCACATCAGCATTCTTAATTAGTATTTTTTGCTTAATACTGTTTAATATCGCTGCTATTGATGTTTGTGAGTGAGCTTTACCCATTAGAGATTACATGCATTTTAAAAGCGGTATATGTATTTTTAGTACTTCATGAGTAAAAGCTTCGTGACGGACATTTTTATATACCTATACTTTTAAGCGAGGCCCTATGCTCCACTTAGGAGAGAAGGACAGCAGTAAGTAAGTATACCTTTAAACAAATATAACAACTATAACAATTTATATAGAAAAGTTTTCTCTTGCGAAACCTGTTAAAAATTTGACACTTTCAGATACTCAGGTATTTTTTTTTTTGCTTAATGATTTTGTACTGTTTTGGACTTTTATATGATTTAGTTATCGTTGATATAACTATACTAATTATGCAATAACAAATATGCATATAGTCTTTATATTAAGTTTTTTTTAAATAAAAATAATTTTTAAAGATACTATAATTCAAATATATAATACAAAAGAAAAGAAAAATAATTGAAAATCCATAATATGCCAGTTAACAAATTTTTCGAAAAATAATAATTTCATATTGCAAAACTAATACTACAAAATACTAATAATAAAATTACTTAATATGTATATATATATATATACATATATATATATAAGAGGTATGGATCTATTATTAATATTAATTTAAATGAAAATTATAAGCAGGACGTCTTAATGTATTTAACATTCTGTACCAACCTCTCGAGTTGATTCGACCTCTTTACTGTGCATATTAGTGCAAACGATATGCGAAGCTTTTTTTTTGCCCCTTACTGAGCTTAATTTTGCTTTTTTATAAATGTTTATGGTTTTTTGTTTATCACTTTTTGCGTTTTGAGCTTTTATCTCCAGTGCTTTTGAAAAGCTTTCCGCAGCTTTTTTATTTAGAAATATATCATCTTGATTGGCATCAGCGGAATTGGCATTTTTTGAGTCTGTCATTTTATTGTTGGCAAATGTTGTCAATGGAGTGATCACAGAAATTGGTGGCGGTCTTGGTGGTGGTGATGAAGGTGGTGCTGCTGAGGGCGATGGTTGCTTTTGAACAGTTGGCAAAATAGTTTTTCGACGTTTATTTGTATTGATATTGGATGTATGTTTATTATCATTGCTTTGTGGCAATGGACTTTCGTTTGGCATAAAGAGTTTACGTTTCTTAATTGCAACTGGTGGTGTAGCAGTAGCATTTCTATCTTCTTGCAGCACTTGTTCTGTACTGTATACTTCTGAAGGTATATCACAGCTATCACAATTTAATGTGGTAGTTTTAACTGTAACAGTAAGTGGTTCTTTTGGTGTACATTGTGAAAGCATTTCAGAATTCAAGAATTTGCGATGCATTTCTAATTCACTATGTATTGTCGGTGGTAGTAATGATCGCCTGGCAGATTTGTTAATATTTTGTACACGTTGTGAAACGATGTCCATGAGTGTTTTATTAACACTAAGGCGATTTCCTGGTTGGCGCGACGAGCTAAAAACATTGGCATGTTCATCAATCAATAAATTTCCGTTTGTATTATTGAATTTTTCTTGCACAGGCGTTTTTAGTTCATCGCTTATGGTTGAGTCCAAATGATCATTTGAAACTTCACTTTTCGTACTTAGAAATGATGTATGCGATTCATTTCTAGTTAGTGTTCCTACATTTTCAACTGTTGACATTGGTTCTGAAAAATCACTTTGTGAACTCTGAAAGATTAGTGTCGAACTTGCAAAAGGTGTTAACATCCTTTTCACTAATGTTTTCGATGTTTGCGGTGTAGAGTCACTTTGTGAGCTTTTCGAAGATTCCCTATTTTTGTCTTGAGTAGGTGTTGAGGTCATGAGATCAATATTAGTTGTATCTACTTGCTCACTTTCAATACTTGTAAGTCTCGGTGTATATAATGTACGCCGTTTTTTTATTTTTGGACTTGCCACCGAAATATCAAGGTCTTTTGCTGTGCATGATGTACGTCTTTTTACTTTCTTTTGACTTTTTGGCGTATTCTCTTCATGCATAGCAGAAATATCCATTTCTTTCGCAATAATTTTTGTTCGGTTATTACCACGACTTGTTGAAGATATACTTTGCTCTAAAGACATAAGACTAATATTTTGTAAAGCCATAATTGCACTTCGCCTAGGTGTTCTGCTTATATTAAGATTATTATATTGGGATGAAAATTGTTTTACATTATCCACCAAATTGGAATCTTCTTGTATATAAGTACGTTTCACTGCACTAGATATGTTTGTAGTTAATACATTTTCGTTTTCTTCCGCCGTTTCAAGATGCGAAATAGTATCTTTTATCGCTTCTTCATGTGTGACTGATTTCAAGACGTCTAATTCTTTGCGTCTAAGGAATCCCTCCTCACTTGAATAGCTAATTAACTCGGAGAATCTAAAATTTATTTTTTGGAATATCGTACTTGATTTTTACAAAATATCTATTTCTTACTTACTTATCTACAAGTTTAGAGTTTGGTAAATCTTGAGACACATCAGTGGTTAAGACAACATTGTTTGGAGTTTTGTTGTCGAATTTCGATAGGAATCTTGTTAAATCAGTCTAAGCGGAAATAATTTTAATTTTAATAAAAAATTATTTTATAAATACATGTGAATTATGTTTTAAATAAATTTATAAACCTGTTTCTTTGTTGTTGTCGGTGTACTAATCGCACTTGGGGTCTTCTTAAGATTTTTTGGAGAATTTCTTCTCGGGGTAGAGTCTTTTGATGTTACAGCACGTAAACGTTTATGTATTTCCGAGTCAGGTTGCATAGATTTGATACGCTGAAATGGAAAATAGAAATTAATTTGTTAAATTTATAACAATAATTAGCTTTTATTAATAATACTAGTTATATTGAACGTTCTGGAATGTTGTTAGGCCCCATGTTTCATATACTTTAGGTTAGGTTGAAGTGGCAGCGTTATGCACCAAAGTTCACTTAACTCATTAATGCAAGCAATTTCGTTGTAAAACTGCAATACTCAAACTATTCTTAGAAGTGTACAAAGTTTACAAAAAAGTTGATAATAATGTGTTTTAGGCGTAGTAAATTTTCTAAAGTTGTATGATTTAAATCTTTTAATTCACATTTTTCTCTCGTTACACCCTTAAAACGCAATTAAGAGGGAAACTAGGTGATAACTAAATTTGGACACTAATAAGTTAAGCGCAAATAATAGCCCGTTATGTCCATATACAGAACGGGCCATTATACCAAACTTAAAAAACCATTTTAAAGGAAAAAATTGCAAACATCTAGCATACGAACGGTGTATCTTTGAATATGCGCGACTCCCTCATTGTAGTAGAAGGAAAACAATCTGACATGTCTATGAACTTGACTATATTCGTAATTTCAGCAAGAAAAGGGAACTTTAAGATTTTAAATTTTTTCTTACTTAATGGCTTTGACGCACATAATGGACTACAGTTTCCTCCATATCCGCAGAGCCACAGCCCCGGCAAAAGTCGTGAGTGGATCAAGTCTTAATATATGCTGTTCAAATACGCAGCGACCTGTCTACACCGATGTCACATTTACACTGTAGTTGAAGCAACTGACTAGTATGAATATTGTTGATATTGGACTATTTTTCATATAAAGTATATTTTCTTCAATAGACCGTTCTTTAAGCGAACAGAAAAGCTGGATTCAGTGTCATCTTTTATTATATATTTATATTAAATCTTATATAACCTATTTACGAAATCTTTTTTTTTTAAATTATAAATATTTATAGCTAAACAAAGATTGAATCATTCTAAGAACTATTCATGTAGTACAATACTATACCATAAGTACAACCATAAGTAATACAATAAGTACAATCAAATAACCAACTAAAAAATAATTAAATATTATTAATGCAGATATTCAAATGTTTTATCCGATCTATTTATTAAGCGTTTTAACACACGTATAGAAATATTGATTTTCATTGGTTAACCTATTAAACCGATTGTAAATGTTAACAATGACAGCTCCGTGGTTACTAAGCTACCAATGTATTCAAGCTGTTTAAATCACATTGATAAAAATTATATTGACTATTCTTTGTATTAATCTGCATGGTTTTGTTTAATCCTAATTTGTTATCCAGAACTTCAGTCTCTAATTAAGCTTAGCAGACTGCAGATCCGTCGCATTCCATAGGCCCATAACCGTGATTACAAGCCTATGCCTTCAGTGTATCACCGGTATACTGTTCAATGCTGAGATTTGGATTCAACAACTCAAACAAGCAAAGAAAACTTACATATGAACACAGGTGTATAAACTTTATCATTGCATATATCCCTTACCGCCACGTTGATGTAAACGGATCGGCCGCTGCTCCACGCATTAAGACAGTACCTTCCCATTGTTAATTTGAGAACCCATTTTGGTAAATTCATATTCGACCGATGATGTCAACATAATAATATATTTCTGTCAATGCAATGTTTTTGATGGAGTTAATACAGTTTCTAAGATTCACGTTTGTGTACCTTTCCGGTTTGTAGTATGTTTGGCTTTAGTTTTACCTAGGGCATCACAGTTTAAGGTTTTAAGGGCCAATTAACAGATATTGAAGTTAGATAATTTTTTAAAGTAATTCTTTCTCAATCTAATCTAATGGTCAACTATTCAAAACAATTTTTTGTTATAGATATAAAATATATTTTATTAATATAAAATATTTATTAAATAAATATTTATTTTATTTGCTCAAATTGTATTTATTTTCTAGAATTAAATATCTTCACGATTAGTCATCGCTTCTAATTTGACAGGCACGAGTTCTAAGCCTGGCACTTGCAGTTCAAACAAATTATATACGGACTATAAACTAATAAAAAAAATTCGAATATTTCCTAAGATCACTGATGATGAAAACTTAGCAATACTCGAAATAGCGTTGTATGGTTAGCCAAACTTCCATAAATTAACTAAAATTTCTGTTGTTGTCCTTTAATTACTATTTGAACCCTTTTAACTTTTAAATAGTTTCTTTTCTTCATAGGACACGTCACTTTCGGTAAAAAAAATTAATAATTAAATTCCTTTAATTTTTCTTCCCGTTTGTTGTTTAGATTAACATAGATTAGGGCCCTAAAAAAAATGTACTATTGCTTTCTCAGGTGTAGAAAGTTTTAATTAGTTTTTATTTAAATATATATGTCCTTAATTAATTTTACACCCTAGCATTATAATTTCCTAGACAAAACTATGAAAGAGATAAGTTAGTTAATCTACAAATTGTTTGTGATTAAAATGGGGGAGTATACTGCATGTAAAACGATGCTAGACATTTAATTCAAAGTGATAAGAATGACATTTGATAATATTTGTTTTTTGTGACAAGTTCATAATTACTGTTTACACTACAGTTGGTCATATAAATATTTGCGTAAATCAAAAATTTTTTTTTATAGTTTTGATCATCAATTTTTTAACTTCACCATCAATGCAACAATGTATCAGTGGCGTAACTACAGGGAAGCAACTGGAAGCAACGCTTTCGGGCCCCCGAATTTAGGGGGCCCCACTATAAATTTTTGTATTCATTGTATTTATTTTTAATAAATTCTCAAAAGTGACGAAACGTTTTTTGTTGGAATAACTTCATATTGCATTTTATAAAAGATACGTAAATTTTAAATTTAAAGTACATAATATGTATGTACTTCAAATAAAATATTAAACCTATTTATAAAATAAAAAAGTTTTTCTAAGAAAAATATGTGTCTTAATCGAGAGACTTATATGGAAGCTATATTTAGATTTAAACCCATTTGAAAATAATTTTGTACGTTGTCTTTTGCAAATATCAGTACTGTATACACCAAATTTCATTTGAATACCTTTATTAAAAACGGAGAAACCTCATATCCGATTGTTAAGTTTATATCACAGCTACAAGAAATAGACGTCCAATTTCAATCAAATCAAATGGTGAACAGGGTGCGCTCCCGAAAAGTATGTGTGTAAAGTTTCATTCGAAGAGTTCAAAAGCTGAGAGAGTAGTTTGAAATGAAAAAGTATATATATACTGTATTGATATGTTAATGGTATTTCCGATGTTTCCTTTAATGGAAATCTTGACAAACCTTATATATCCTTTTCACATTTTTTCGTGTAAAGAGTATAAAAAGAGGGGCCCCTTAGTATGTTGGTAGGGGCCCCTTAGTTAGAATTTGCTTACAGGCCTAAAAAATGTAGTTACGCCACTGCAATGTATAAATCAAAATAACAAAGTTTGATCATAAAAGACTTATTAAATTACATAGGAAATATTTCGACGATGCTTCGTCCAACCACTTTGACGTTCAGATGAGCTAGCGAAGTTTCGTGGTGATCTGAGTTTTCATTCAAATTGAATTAGTCCATCAAAATTGTTATTCCTTTTTTAATTTGGAATTTTTTAAGCATTTATTTAGTTAATCAAATCAATAGAATTAACGCTTCTAAAATGTAAGGTGCTACGAAAGCATCTTTTATGTTGATCTGTATCTAGATATCCTAATTCACTTCAGTAGTGTTTAGACGCATCATCACTGAGGTATTTTCGATGCGATTAAATACTTTTTCTTATGATTGGATTTTGTTAATCCATTTAAACTTAATATAGTTACCGATCAAATAGATGGAAAGAAATATAAGAGATTAAATATGAGAATTTTTAAAGTATTTGGATGTACTATATTCTGCAGATCTTTAACCCTTTTGGTTATGAAAAACTTTACATATATATACAATATATATTATAATTACATAATATATATGATTGTTTAATATGATACATATATACATAACATATAATGTATATCATAACATAAAATATAATGTAGATATAAAATTAGTGAAATAAATGAATAATAAAATCTTATAATGACAATAATACATAAAATACTAATCAATCAGCATTTTCTTTCATATATACAGAAAAGGTTAACTTGATAAAATTAATAGAGTGTAGGGTATCTCATAGAATCACCAATTAAATATTTTTTGTTTATATTATCAAAGCAGTCGCAATGTGTCGTTTTGTTAGGTGTTTTTCTTTCAAGCATGCGTCTTGTTTGTTTTTAATTACGTGCTGTTAGGATCGTTCCAAATATTGTTTAATTTAAAATGTTTTGCTTTTCATCACGAAATACAACAGAAATCCGTTCTTTCTTGCTTTTATACTTAAATTTAAGTTACTGCAGTGGAAGGGTTGATTTGCAGTTTGATAGTTAAGTGATTTATATATTAGATGAGTGTTCTTTATTCATTTTTTTTTAAATATTATATTTACGTGTTGCTTGATTTAAAATAATTTTTTAAATTTTAAAGGTTATATTAAGTTATATTGAGTTTAAAATTAGATAATTTTTAAATATATCTAATATAAGAAAATATTATATATATATAATATTAATATTATAATATAATATATTACAATACATATAAAATTATTTATATATTTTTACAATATAAAATTTGTATAATAAATAAAAATTATTATTACAATAATTTAATAAAAACAAATTTATTATATTTAAGAATGATATATAAAATATACATAAATAAATTTTTTAATGTATATTAATTTCTTTTATTTTTTATTCTAAATAATTTGAAATTGACTATAAATTTATTTTACGTTATTGTTTAAATGATATAATATAATAATTAAATTAAATTATATCAGACACAAATTATATGTATTATACAAATAAGTCTATGAATATATATATACAATATATATGAATATGTGTATGAATATGTTTACTATATATATATATATATACAACACATAATATACAACAAAATAAAACATAAATAAATTAATTTTAGATTATTATGTATATGAATTAAAAATCCATATATGTTGTGTTTACTTTACATTATAAAAAAATGTATATAGAATATAAAGCATATACTAATACTACAAATTTCCTGAACTCATTCTGGAGACTCTTCTAGGGCTTCCATAAGAGTATATATGTAACTTTTAATTTGTATTATATTATATAAATATTTACATACAAATTTAACACAAATTAATAATGTGTAATTTTTTATTTAAAAAAAAAATTATTTATAATTTTATGAGTTAAATAAACGACATTCGTCCAGTAATTATCCAAAAACTTTTTAAAAATTGATCATAAAAAAAATTATTATCATAAATTCATAATATAAATAATAATAATAAATAATTTAATCACAAAAACCTTATATTAAATTACTATAACCAAATTATTTTATGTTAAATATATGTTCAATTATTAAAAATAATTATAACAACTTAATAAAATAAATTATTACAACAAATAATTTTATTATAAAAGCACTTTGTAAGCATTTTTTTAAATACTATAGCTTATTTTAATACTCTTTGTAATATTAACTATTTTACTGTTATTTTTTATAACATAATTTGTGTCCTATTAAAGATTATTTGTAAACTAAAGATTATTAAAATCAATGATAAATTATTAAAACAGATTTTATAATAAATAATTTAATTATTTTAAATACTTTTTGAAATATTATTTAATTTACTGTTTTTTTATAACATACTTTACAACGTATTTTTTATAATATACTTTATCCTTTATCCTTGTCCTCATAAAGTATATTATAAAAACACAGTAAATTAAATAATATTGCAAAGAGTATTTGAAATGATTAAATTATTTATTATAATAATCTGTTTTAATTATTTTTTTTATTGATTTTAATAATCTATACCACAATTAAATTACTGTATATTATTTTTTTTTAAATTTAAATAAATAATAGAATAATAAATTTATTAAATTATTAAATAATGTAATTGTTTTAAATACTCTTATTTATTATATAATTTATTGTTTTGTTTCTTATAATATAATTAAGTTGTTATAATAATTTATTTGATACCTAACAGAATTAATAAATTTTTTTAAATTATATTTCAGTATAACACGCTTTTATAGGGTGCTTTAAGGCACAAATGCTTACTTTTCCAAGATAAAGTGTACATTTCTAAAAATGCAACCTTGCATAGGATTTTGCAAACGTCTCCACAGCACCAAAAAAGAAAAAAAAATAACACAAAAAAAAAAAAAGGAAAGCAAGCAACAAAGGCAAAAACAAATCATGAATCAACCAACAATAACGTCACAAGAACATGGCTTAAGTAAATTCTGACATTTGACAAATAGTTTGCCATATTCGTTTTGTGGCTCATTCCGTTGCCGCAAGTCCAATAAGCAGCACAGCAGTGTAGAATAGGCGGGCAACAAACTCTTGTACAACTGACAATCAATCTTCGTTGTTAAATTATTTATTTTTTTTATTAAATTCATTTAATGAATTAACGGTATTGAGTACAAATTTTTAATTGAAAGAGAAAAGAAACTTTAATAAGAGTTCGAAGCGAATGTAATTAAGAGCGCAGCAGCGGATTAACATATGAATAAGTAAAATCAGATTAACATAAATAAACAAAAATCGGGAAAAAGAGACAATCAATTTGTTTTGTTGTGTATTTAATAAACGTGGCATTTCTTTTTTGTTAAAATATTCAGAAGGTAAACAAAATTAAATAAAAGAAAAAAAATTACACGACATTTTGAATAAAATTATTTTATTTTTTTTTCTCCTCGTTTTGTATGCAGTCAAGATTTTGTGTAATTTTAATTGATACTCAACACACACCCACACACGCACACACACACACACACTAATAGAAAAACAAAAACAGAATACGCTTAGTAAACAAAACGAAAACCAAACCAAACCAAATTGCATAAAAACTAAAGCCGTAAGTGTTTACACCTGTCGATATGATACCTAATTGTGGACCCGTTACGCAAGCATTGCTGGGAACATTGCTGACTTGGGGTTTAACAGCAGCGGGCGCAGCATGCGTCATATTTGTACGTGGCAGTCAACGCAAATCGCTGGATGCAGCTTTGGGCTTTGCAGCAGGTGTCATGGTTGCGGCCTCCTTCTGGTCACTGCTCAGTCCAGCAATTGAAATGGCAGAAAATTCACATCTCTATGGCATCTATGCATTCATGCCAGTTTCAGGCGGTTTTCTGCTGGGCGCAATATTCGTTTACGGCTGCGATAAGCTGATGTCATACCTGGGACTTAATAGCACAAACATGATGATATCTATGACACAAACCAATAAAGATAAAGCTGAAATTGCTATGGATGATTTAAAGCACTCACAAAATGGCATTGAATGTACAACGAAAAAGGGTATGGACAGTTTCTCAGATTGCTTGAGCATGCAACACAGTGGTGAACCGAGACGCCGTAAGAAGTCCAGTCTTGCCGAGGTTGAACAGCAACAAACATATATAGCTGATGAGCAGAGCATTGCTGCCGCTAATGCGCTGTCACAATGGAAACGCATTATGTTGCTAGTCGTGGCCATAACAGTACACAATATACCTGAGGGTTTAGCTGTGGGTGTTAGTTTTGGTGCTATTGGTTCAACGGAAGCATCCACTTTTGAGACTGCACGTAATTTAGCCATTGGCATTGGTATACAAAACTTTCCAGAAGGTTTGGCGGTAAGTTTACCATTACATGCAGCTGGTTTTAGTGTAGCACGTGCTTTATGGTATGGACAACTCTCTGGTATGGTGGAACCAATCTTTGGTATACTAGGAGCTGTAGCTGTAGGCTTCGCAAATCTTATATTACCATATGCATTATCATTCGCTGCTGGTGCTATGATTTACATTGTAGCTGATGATATTTTGCCAGAGGCGCATGCTAGTGGAAATGGCACTATTGCCACGTGGGGCACAATTGCTGGCTTTCTGATAATGATGTGCCTGGAAGTGACATTATCGTGATTTTAGACAAATGCGACAATTCAGAGTATTGTCTGTCTATACGTCAACGAAGGATTTTTCTATTCATATTGTGAATTCCGACCACAGTCGATAACACTGAACGCATGTGTGTATAGAGAATTATGATACCATTTTCATGTAAACCTATAGTTCAACTAAATATTTTTGTACATCCTATATAAATGTATTATTTTAATGTTAGTGCTTATGTAAATATATATATATACATACATATATACGTGTTTACACATTTTAAATCTCAATGTTTGATAAAAAAAAAAACGCTGTTCTAGTATAAGTAAAAAATTATCTTAAAAGGAAAAAAAAAATGCTGTAAGCGATCAGTGCAATGAAACTTAACACAACAAAAAAAAAAATGAAGTATGTATGTAGTATAAATAAATTATTAAGCTTATTTAATTTTATATAAATGTATACTGTAAACGGAAACGCAAAGCCCAACTAAAAATACTATGTACTTTAAAAAAATAAATATTAAATTTTGTTATATTTTACAAAACAAAATAAATATTATTTATACGTATTAATATTATTAAGTATAAAGTTTTTAATTATGTAAATTATTTAATAAATTAATTTCCTTGCTGGAATACGTGTACGCGGATTATCAATCACGCCAAGATAAACGCAAATGTGAATGCAAATTCGTTGAGTTTTATTTTGTTATTGCTCATATAAATTGTTTCTGTTTTGATTTTAAGTTTAATTTTAAGATAACAATTGTACCATTCCATATAGAGATAACTTAATTAAATTGCGATAAGGGGACGTACACATGTAGTCTAGTTATTGGTACCGGTGGTATCAAATGCTTATGCAAGTTTCCAAAATAAATATAAATACACGGCTAGTCAAAGTAATTATCAATTATAATATCAGCTCCCAACCTACCCAGCCCCTACTATCACTGCATTCTGTTTAATCATTAAAAGTTTAAAGTTCTTAGAAATATTAACATTTTTTTCAATATTAAATTATTAGTTTTTGATTTATGTATATTAATTTGTATTGTGCTGATAATAGCTTCTGAAAAGTCAATCAAGATCAAAATTCATAGTGAACTGATTAGTGATGTGGTACCATGAAAATTATTTATAAACTCACGTTTGACAGTAGCAATTGTAATACCAAATATTCCTCTGTATGTTCATGCCTGATAGATAAGAAACAGAGGTGGGCTACACACTAAGTTCTAAAGACAGACATGTATAATATTATAAGCGGACACTAAAATTTATAGATAAGAAACAGAGGTGGGCTACAAACTAAGTTCTAAAGACAGGCATGTATAATATTATAAGTAGACACTACAATTTATAGATAACAAACAGAGGTGGGCTACACACTAAGTTCTAATGGCAGATATCAAAATAATTCATGCGGAATCTTAAATTTATATATAAACTTATGTTGGACAGAAGCAGTAGTCATACTAAAAACTTCTTAGATATGAAGTCGCCTTCTGTATGTTCAATGCCTGATAGAAAACAAACAGAAGTGGGCTACTCACTAAATTTAACTGGATAACATTGTATTTACAATGTTATCAGGCGGTCTCCAAAACTTATTTATGATCTAAAAATTTAGTTAAGTACATTATGACATTATTAAAATATCGTTACCGAGAGAAACTTTAAATAAAACTCTCAATATAAGTAATATGGTATAACTTCAATCCAATACTATATACAATACTAGCAGCAGTGATACCAAATATTTCTCTGTATAGTTATGACTGATAGATAATAAACAGAAGTGAAACGCTCATCAAGTTTTCATAGCAAATGCTTACAATGCTAGAAGTGGCGAATAAATCTATGAATTCTGTAATGTTGAAATTAAAGGCAGTTTTTATAATAAAAGAAACCCTTTTCAATTCAATATATAAGCACCATTGTAGGTTATAGTAGCAGTCGACCTTGCATACCGGAGCCACTCGTCAATTTCGACGATTTAATACCGCTCACTGACTACTCTTAACAGGGACTAAATATATGAATATCTGCCGATTCCATAACAGCAGCACTGTTTTCGGAGTACGCCTAATGTGGATGTTTCGGCATAATGATACTGATGCACATTGCAGTATCGATGAATTAATCAGACAGGGTATTTGGTTGCAGGGGTTCATCGACAAATAATCTTTTATTCTTTAGTCTTTCAGAAAGACTGTCAAAAAAGTGTTTTCACTAAAAGTCTGTTTCTGTTATTAAAGCTGGGTAGTCACAAAAAGAGTGTGTATTTATTTTTTCTTCGTCAAAGTTTTTGTAATTTCCACAAAAACTGTTGAATGAAAGGTATCTCTGTATAGGATTCTATATATTAGTAAGCTGAATGAACTACAATAAACCTAATATTGTGAACTCGGTCCCTGCTAATAACTTCCCTAAGCCTGGGCTTCTAGGTGAACCTCGATGTTTTATATTTTGTGAGTGGCTTCCACATATTTAAATTAGCTAGAGAAAAATAGAGATAGACGAACGTACGCCCATTGAACGGCTACACTGTCGTCATATTCATTTTTTTTAAATGTTCTTATAATCGAGAACCCCAATGGGATTGCTGTCCGCTAATCGACTTATTCTTTCGATTTCTGTTCTATATTCTCTTTCTGGTTTTGATTTAAATTTTAAACTTTGAAATGCTTTAATTGCCGTTTGGGTGCCAATGTAAATGACAATCTTATATTTTAGCTTGATGTAGCTTGCAATTAACTTACCTAATACCTAATAGGTAAGACTTCAGTCTGAAAAACTTTATCTTTAACATATTAGGCAACTGAAGAAATTAATATTTGCGAATGGTGAAAATATTTCTACACGTACCTTGAATTCCATTTTTAAGTGGTTTGTCAAATAAAATATTATATTTCATTTTAAAGGTTGTTCTTTCTCACTCATTTCTTGACGGAAATATTACCGTAAAGTAATCTTCGAAACAAAAATAAGGGTTAGGATAGTCTGCTGTAATTCTCTACAGTTAATTTTAAACTGTGTCTAGAAATCGACAATGTCCCTATGTGACCGAAACTACATAGAACAAAATCAAAGAAGGACGAGAAAGAAGCCGGGCGTAATACCTTGTCCGGAGCTGATCAATTCTAGTCAGAAGCTGAGTTTCTACAATCACTTTGAAGGCAATTATGACTTTAATGTGTTGGTTATTTAAAGGTCTTTGTAAACTTTTACTATAAAAACAGTTTTCTAGTCATTATATGTACATTTTTTATACATACAAATAACAACTGTATTCGAAGTAATTTGTTATGGATCTTGTAAACGTAGTTACAAAATCATTTATTATAGAAAATCGTCTTCTATAATATATTTATTATTTTATTTTGCAGTTTTATATATTGGATATATTTGCAGTTGATACGTACTGAACCGAATAGTTCGGTTCACGTGGAAACAGAGACCTGAATGGAGGTTTAGTGGTGAGGTCACATCAACGCAATAATTAAAATATCTCCTAAATTGTAAACATTAATAGCTTTTCACTCTTTTGTGATAATCGCGACTTACGTCAAAATAATCATTCTCCGTCAAAACAAGCGATCAAATAGATTACTGCGGTTTATAAAAAAAGTCACCCTTTTAAACCTTTTGTGATAATCGCGGCTTACATCACATTAATAACTCTCCGCCAAGGCAAGCGATCAAATAGATTACTACGCTTTTCAAAGAAAAATCACCCAAGAAGTGACTAATAAACAAGTACTGTTCCATTACGCCAATACGTGAGAATAAATAAGCGTAATACGCTACATATTAGCAATCAATAATTCTAATACTTTATTGCTACTACTACTCGTAGTCCACATTTGAATCAATTTTAAATTTCACTTCGATTTCAAATTCGAATGGTTGAAAAGAAAGACATTTACTACCAGAGGGCAGATAAATGAAGAAAGAGTGGCTTTGTACGGACTGATGGAAGAAGTCATATTGTTCGGAGGGTTTGAACAAGTTGGAGAATCATCGGATTCAAGCTAACCATCTATTTTTTTAATTCTTCGAGTTAATATATTTGGATATGGAAAAAGTATGTTCGCAAAATTAAATTTGGTTACTTCAAAAACTGACTTTGAGATATATAGAGAAACGTATATGTCTACATTAGTTTTTGTTGTTCTGGCCAAAAATCTATGTTACCGATCTATGGTTTCCTACTCTTATATTAATGTGTTATAAATATATGGCAAGAATAAAGGTAAAGGTATGATATATGTATAGGATATATCCTAACACATTCGATATATGTATCCTGCATATATTTATAAATTACAAAACTCGTTTTAGTTAGCTTGAAACTGTAAACGTTTGGTCGCTAACGAATAGAGGTTTTGAAAAATCTGAAGACTCAGTTTAAAATGTAAATAATGCTATATATAACCATTTTATAATAGCAAGGTAAATTGCAGACCTAACAAATTTCGATGAAAAAATTAGTTTTGATAATTTTTAAAGTTCATTACTAACCTTTCTTTTTTCATATAATTCTGGATTGTCAAAACGATCTAAATCTGATATTGGAAATTCTGTAGGGTCGCAAATTTTCCGGAATTTTTTACAGGCTTCCACCCATAAAACAGAGACAATGGGTATATTAAAACGTTTTGCTGCCTTGTAAGCAGCAAGTGTGCCATCTTTAAAAATAACGTGAGTTGTATTACTGTAAATAGAAAAAAAAAATAAATAAATTAAGGTCATGAGTAAAAAATGTTGTAATACAGAATATTTAATAATTTAAATTTAACGTTAAAAATTTAACCCCCACCAATTAAATTAATAGTAAAAGTAAATGTAGGGAAAACGACATAGATTGAGCTTTAAGATTTACTGGTTAAAATTCAATTAATTCCTTATGTAAAACTCAATTGCTTCAAAGCAACACTTTGTGTACTTCAAAATGTCTCTTGTCACTTTCAGTGCTAGAATTGTGGTGTAAAACAGCACTATGTTTACTCCCAATTGTTTCTTTGCGCTTACAATGGTAAAATTATGGTGCAAAACAGCACTTTGTGTGCTTCAGAATGTTGCGTTGCGCCTGCAGTGGGAGAAATTTTGTACAAAAGGAAGTCAAATTGCGGCTTTCGTTCCATTTGTGATTTCGCACCATTGCAGGTTCTACATTGCTGACTTCAACTATCTCAACGATCCCAACGTTTCCAACGATGTCCAACGATTTCGACGTGCCTTTTGTGATTTCGCACCATTGCAGGGTGTTCATTGCTGGTTACAACGATTTCAACTCTTTAACGATTTTACCGATACTAACGCTTACAACGCTTCTCAACGGTCACAACGATATCAACGACTCTAACACTTGCAACGCTTCCCAACGGTCACAACGATATCAACGCTTCAACGATTTCAACGACTCTAACGGTTTCAACGACTCTAACGGTTTCAACGCTGACAACGATTATAACGCTTGCAATGCTTCCCAACGGTGACAACGATTTCAACGATTCCAACGCTTCAACGATTCCAACGCTTCAACGCTGACGACGATTTCAACGTTTTCAACGCTTACGCTCTTAATTCTATGTCTACCTATAACTTTAAGGCTTGTCAAAACTAATAATAAATGTTATCATAAAACAGAAAACACAGTGTCTCATTCTTCATTATATTAAATTCTTATAACGTGCCCTGGTAAACTCGCTGAATTATACCCCAGCTATTGATAGGGCTGGAAAAGGACTGGAAAAGGTTGACAGATTTAGATCTTTGTAACAATTTTATTTTTTTGACGTACTACGGAGCACGCGTAACTTGTCGGAAAATTTTATTTTGTATTCTCTGGATATTTTCTATATTTGAGTTATGCGCTGAACATCACAGTTCTATATCATAGGTCCAAATTGGTTTTATTATTGATTTGTGAATTAACAATTTATTATCGAAACAAAGTTTAGAGTTGCGATTTAATATTCTTTATAGGAAAATTAAAATAAATGACAAATACAATAAATAGGATTAGGATGTAGTTAGATGATACTATAGCGAGAAGAAAGGTAGTTTAGGAGAGTAAATGAATGAAGGGATGAGTGAGTTTCAATCGGAAGTAACATAGATTGAGGCAGATAAACCTGACAATTTCAGTGGTTTGAATCCATTAAAAAGGATTAAAAGGGCTCAAATTCGTGTGTGCATTAGAGTATGCATACAACCGAAATCGTGATGAGTAAAGCTGTAGTTAGTGTAAACGCTGAGAACTAACGTATTTTTGTAGTAGGTGATATTTGTCGCTTTTGTGAGTGCAAAGAAGGATACATTATTTTTAGTCTCTCAAATGTTGTATTTCATATGGTGATGTTAAACTTGTCTAATATATACAATCGTTTTGTATCAGAACTTTATCTGTTTGCTTTTCCATTCTCTGATATATCTCTATAAACTTGGGTTTTTCCTTGATCGTTACATACGCATATAGAGAAACAATAACTTGTTTGCATCGATTCTTTATGGATTATTTAAACAAATAATTGGTTTAATACGAAACTAATATCACAGTCAGAAAGGAATTTTCGTAATGAACGCAAATTGTTATTGCATATTTTATTTTTTTTCCGGTCTTGTACACCTATCCTCTCCAATTTGTTGTTAATATCATCAAAAGTTTTGTGTTTAACATAAGTGGCACACCTCGTCAAACGCTTTCGTATCATGAAGATAAAGTTATAAACAGAATCAGCTTTAAACAACTTTCCGTAGTTTGTGAGCTAACATTTAATAGATTCATAGTACCTCTGTTTGTTCTAAGTCCACTGATATTTGCAGAGTACCTTTTGAACAATGATGTGTGTTGTTGTTGTAATCCGCTGGGACTTGATTGTTAAGTTCTTTTGGAAGGTGTCGAAAGGCACTTGGAGTGGGCCGATACGTAAACCCAGCCATTCTTGGAACCTAATGATGTGAATCGTATGGTTGCCTTGTTCCCGCAGTTTATGATATAATACATAATTTATTAATGTTATTTTTGATTCCTCCTCAATTTACACTAATAATTTACAATTATTAATTATCAGCGCACTTTAACAATATTCCACAGTTTGGTTCATAAAAAAAACTGTATTGTAGTATCTTCGTCTTACGTTGTTGTTCTAGCCCGCTGGGATATGCTTGTGTGACCCCTTTGGGGATGTTGAACGGCACTTGCTCGTCTTCGATAAGTGTTTCCGGGACGTGAACCCTGCCGTTCTAGAGACCTCCCTCTTTCGTCATTCGTAATTTTCCAGTTCCTCTTTCGTAACTACTTTAATTAAATCCATTTAACTTTATTTTAGTATATTTAACTTGTTACAAAAATCCATAACATTACTTTAGATTGTTTTTTTGAAAAATTGCCTTATAATATATTTCGCCATTGTAATCACTTAATGAGCTATTTCACAATCGCAATTAGTAAATATATTGAAAAAATTAACTAATAACTCTATTAATATACAAGTCAAAAAATTATATATGCAAACAAATAACTTACATTGTAACTTTTCCCATTACTTTAGCACCAAGTGATAATATGACTTTTTTAATTCCATCCGTTCGATTATCTTCGCCACTGCGTACGTCGACATATGCGACAACACCTTTCATGATATCAGTCATGGCAGTTGGTGGTTCATCGGGTATATATAGACTCTGCTCTCTTAGTGATACATCAAAGTGTGAATATGGCGACATTATTGGATTTCTGTAAGATTCCAATTCAAATATTACACATATAAAAGATAAATAATTTTGTCTTACTTCAAAGCATTCAAAGCACGCATTCTGACAGTTGCTGATGGACTATTTACATCGCGTTGTATGCGAGTCATAATTGACTTATTTTTTGGTGTTAAAGATATTGGTGCATTTATTGGTTTACTATTTAAATCTATGTTTGATATGACGCTCCTGCAGTCGTCGACTATTATACTTGAAACTGGAGTTGGAAAACCTGATGCTCCATTTGTTGTGAATGTATGGATCGATTTCGTTTTCGTTCCATGTTCACTATGTTCGTCTGTTGAATTGATAATTACGTTTTACAACATTATTTAATGCAAAATTAGAGAAACAATAATATGAAACAATAATGGACTAAAGGTAAACGCAAATTTTCTATGTAAAAATTTTTTTCTATTGTCACTTTCCAAAGCTTTGTAAAGCTTAAAATGACAGCGCAAACATTCAGTGCTACCAAACTATATGTTTTTTTCTTACCGCTGCTCATTGAACACACTGCCAAGCATACACGAAAATTTAATTAAGTTGCTTTTGAGCGCCCCACAAAGGAAGTTTTTTTTTTGTTTTTTAATTTTGTTTTTGTTTAACTAAAATATATTTATACAGTCATATTTGGAAGTCCTAACTAAATTTCATTTTTTTGTTCTTTTTTCTACTTAATCTAACAAATATATAAAAGCATACTTACTAGTTATTTTATTTTCAATATTATTGGATGGACTTGGTTGACTATTTTCGTTATCAACAAACTGTGATTGTTTTAATGTTTGAAATTGATTAGAATCTGAGCTGTTGGAACTGCAACTAAGGCCACTGTCACTTAGTACTTCAAATAATGGCTGATCAGACGGCATTAATAGCATGCTAATTCTGCGATCAATTTTTATAACGTTTTTATCAGTATTATTTGAGGTAAATTGTAATTCTTTTAAGGGTTTTGTTTTATCAGTTTTTTTTATTGTTTTTATTGTTCTGTTATTTAAACTAAAACGTGTCTTAGATTGCAGCACAGCCGAATTGTAAGTCTTTGTTTTCCATGTTGATTCGCGCACAACGAATTTATCCATATTTTTAAGAAAAAAATTCTATTGCAATATACCAGGATATCTTATAAAACAATTATTAACTGTATAATATAATATAATAAAGAAACAACATTGATCACTAAAATTGCACACTCCGCCAACGTTAAAAATAATTTGAATATATGTATGCTTTGAATGTATGCGTAATCGCGTTGTTGAGCGGTGGTGTGTTTGAAAATTGTGGCAGAAACAGCTGCCATAGTAGAAGGGCTGTTTTCATACGTCATAAGTGATCGTAAATATTTTATTATTTTATTATTTCATTAATTTAAATATTTCTTTATTAAAATTTCCATAAACTTGCAGTTTTATTTTCATCAAATTGATTTCTGTTTACATAAAATTTTTTTCTCATTTTTAATAATTTTTTGAATATATAAATATTGAAGATCATATAATTCATAATCACGTAATTTCGAAATGTGATTTTCAGATAAAGTTTAAGGGTTTTTGTTATACTTTCCTTCAGTTTTGTTTTGATATAATTATAATTTCATTAATAATAATAAATACTCTTAAAATTTTTGTAATTGTCTGAAATAAGGCATAAGTGAAATATATTTCGAAATAACGGCAATACTTTTTTATTGTTTATTTGTATGTTTGTTCATAGTTTATTTATAATTCAATTAATAATTTTTATAATAATTTATATATTTAAACAAGCGTTTCAAGCGTAACTTTGATCCTTATATAATATTAAATAAGCAACAATATGATTTAGATCTTCTTTCCTGAAATGATCCGTGCCACAAATTAGAAAAGTTGGCAATGCATCATTTTTTCCCTGTGTTTATTTGTTATTTGTAACTCCTTGCTACTTTTGATTATTCACTTTATTCTTAAGCCTATTATTAACAGACTTTTCGCATAAAAAAAATTACATAAAAAATGTTCCAGTGTCGAAATTTTATGGAATATATTCTAATATTAAGTTTTATGTCAATTTTTCCTGCGGAATGAATGTTAGTGAACCACATTAGCCGTATTTCAGCAAACAATAATCTTGATTTTCTTCACTGAAATGATACGGATCACACGTGAAAGTAATTGGCAACGCAACATACATGTCAGCTGTGTTTGTTTACAAAATTTTGTTGAGATTTGTAAGAATAATTTTGGCGCTAAAAGAATTATTGAAAAAATATTAACTATAAAAAATAAAAAATCGCAAATATTTAAAAAAAGATAAAATCTGCTGAAATGAAATTTTGTTTATTATTTACTTTAAAACTTTACTAACTCTTTCCGTCCTATTTTAAACACTAGTTCAAGTGTATTAAGTTCTTGGGAGGAAGTGTGTCAGCATGGAAATATTGAACATTTTATAATTCAAATTTGCATAATAATTATTAATATCAACAATAAAAATACAGCTCTACTTTTTTCCGCCAAAATCTATTTTTTCACTTCCCTTGTTTATATATGTATTTTTTATTGTACAGTATCATATGTTAAAATCGCATTGCCAATGACATTTTGTATAAAATATTTTCCACTTTAATTTTGTACATATATTGAATCAGAATCAGTTCAATTGCTGGTTCACCCCATTGTTAAGGCTTTGCATATAAATTCGGTGGATCATTGTTTGCTATGCGGATCATTAAAGCCCTATGCTCCAGTGGGACATATGGGAACTGATGATGATTGTTTGCTGAAACACAGTTATTATGTGACAAATTTTCATTGCCGGTCAAATTTTGAATTATTTACGTTATACTTTTGTTCTACATTGTATCAGGACCTGAACCGGAGCAATTGATAGTTCATCGTATTGATATTGTGTTCTGTGTTAGTTCATTAGACCATTCTTTGTTAAAACACGCTTGAAAATGCGAGTGTTAACAAGAAGATCAAAGAGTCGATTGGTAGACGATGAAATTGAGACTAAAAGAACAATAGGAATATAATAAATAATTATGTTTAATGCGACAATTGATCACATACTAATTAGCACTGTACATCTATGAAGAGAGGGAATGCTTAATAGTTATTATAAATTCGTTAGGTTGTATTAGCATATTGAAAAGGGTTATCTATTTCATGGTTGAAAGAGTTCAAAGTACGTATATATATGGTATATTATCATAAATATTATTATTACAATGCTACCTAGAAATAGAGATAAGTGTACTTGGTTTAATCCAAGTACCACATTAATCCACACTTAGTGTGTTGGATATATATATTTACTCTTATCTATGATAATATATCTGAAACAAAATTTTTAACTCTAGATATATATATATGCTAATGACCTCATATTAAATTAATTTTTCTTCTACAAAACTTACGAGATCATCTAAGTCTCTTTGATTGTTCTTTATATTTTGATACTATAGAGTAAATGTAGATAATAGAAAATAAATTAAACACTTCAAATACATTTACAATTATCAAAACTGATAAGTATATATTTGTATGAATTTTGTATAAAAAAATGGAATTTGTCTTGTTAATTGTGATAGTGTAAACGCACTATTTAGTTAATTAAAAAAAATAATTGTTACTATTTTAATGTTTTTCTTTATTAAGATTACAAGTAAATTATTTTATACAATGATTTTAATATAAAATAATTAAATATGTATAAATTATGGAATGATTCTTAACTTATGTACATACGCAAATATTATTTACATTAAAATATATTATTTAACTATTTTGTTTATATCTCAAATAACATATTTTCAGCTTAAACTGAAGTATTCGTTTAAAGAATTTCTAAAATTGAAAGCTGACAAAATTAATTCATTTTGGGCACATTTAGGACATTTTTCAGTCTTTAATAATTTAAAAACAAAAAGTAAAAAAAAACCTAATATATACATTAAGACTGAAAAGTTTTCGGAAATTCTCATTTAAAATTCGCGCGCTGTATATTTTTCGATATTTTAAGTTTATGTAGTTTGGCAGCACTGTCCTTAATTACTATGCCAAAAATGAGCTCGATCTGTCAGACAGTTCGTTTACGGCAGCTGTTGAAACCAGTTCACCTCAGTAGTGCGTTGCGAAATGTCTTCGACGGTCGTACGACCGTCCTGGAAGGCTTTGTACCACTCATAAACTTGAGTTTTCGATAAAACTGATTCCCCATAAGCCTTTTGTAGCATTCGCAACGATTCTGCACACGAAATTTCGTTCGAAACACAAAATTTGATGCAAACTCTTTGTTCAATATTTTTTTCCATTGTTTTTTTCGCAACGCCCTACTGAGGTGAACTGGTTTCAACAGCTGCCGTAAACGAACTGTCTGACAGATCGCGCTCATTTTTGGCATAGTAATTAAGGACAGTGCTGCCAAACTAAAATATCGAAAAATATACAGCGCGCGAATTTTAAATGAGAATTTCCGAAAACTTTTCGGTCTTAATGTATGAAAGTTTTAGCCAACTTTCTGAAGTTATGAAGAAATTTCTCAGTTCAGGTCAGAAAACTTTAAGCCACAAACGAAATGAGAGAAAGCCAACTTTTCATATCTACCATATACCGATGCTGCTTCACTTGTGGTCAAGGCAGGAAGCAAAATATTGAGATTTTTTTACCTTCATATGTCAATTAATTATGTGGATAAACTTAAACGCAAACAGCCACGGAGGAAATGAAACTTTTTGATAAAATTAAAAAGATATTTCATTTATAATAAACTTTTTTATTTATAACATTCTTTGATGTCTTTTGAGAGCAATTATTATATTTTTTAATTTATATCTAATCTTATATTGATTGAAGTGTTTCTTCGTTTTTATGTGAGCAGAAGCATTTTTTATTTTACTTTATTTTATTTCATATTATAAAAATGTTACTATTTTAGTTATTTCATGCAATATAATGTAACATAATTAATAACCAAATTATAAATAATATTAACTTAAGAATATTATCTTAGAACAATGAACGCAAAAGCCAGAGCTTAAACAGATTGAGTTCTCCTAGTTTAAGAATAAGACTCACATCGTAACATATACCTGGATATTGACTTTCTCTCCTTCAATATATTTTTCCTCTCGAGTTTTATATATAAGCTAGCATTTAATCTACTCTAAAAAATATGGGATCAATTCAATATGATTAAGCCTATATAGGCTATAAAAATATAAGGTAAAACCTTTAGACAGTTTAGACCACTTAGCAGTAATCATTGATGTACCCGGTAGCCCAATTGTACTTTTACGAACGCTAAATTAAAAGAAAAAAATTGGAATTCTCAATATGGTCACCTTGAGCGCGATGCATGGCTCTCGGTCAACACGCTCATCACAGGGTTCAGAAATGTGAACTGCAAAACTGTTGTTTTCATCTATTAACGAAGAATGGCTTCCTTGAGCAGTGAGCAGATAAACAACAAGCGTTTTTTTAATACTGAACTTGGCCTATACCGAAGGGTCGAGAGAATGTGTATCGAGTGAACTTAGAAACTACTGAACGGTTGAAAGCGAATATTTTACTTTTCAGAGAAAATGTTATTCGCCAATATGAACATGATTATGAATTTGATTTTATTGTATGTTGAAATTTTTTCCTGTCATATTTCCGACTTGCAATTTTAACTGTTGTTAAATAATTGTTACTTTTCTTCTTAAAGGATTAGTGTCCCTGATTCAGCATAATAGTCAAAAAAGAGCAGCAAAACATGAATGTATCATATTATATCCGCAGCATAGCTGGTTGCGCATCAATTTAAATTTAACAGTTCAAAATACCTATATTCAGTTTTTGCAGTTCCTTGAATTTATCTATCGAACGCTACTTTCAGGAATCCAATATTTTTTTCATACAGTTACTATTTTCACAACCAATTTTCTTCTCTTTATATTACCACATATCTCATCGCATCAGCATATGAAATTTTTCACTTGAATAAATTGGCAAGAAGGTTCGAGTACCTGCTTAAACGCTATCTCGTGCAATTTTTTCACCGTAAATAATCCTATTTTATAGCATAACATGTGATATATATATATATACATGCAATATATATTAATGTTTTTGTATTTCTTACAATATTTTTATATTAAGCAAACGTATATGTGAATTATGAACGCACACAAAACATACAAGTATTTTCGTTTTCATCTCCCAGTAGAGCCATTTTTACAATATTTTCAAATTGAGCCAATTTCAGTTCAAATTACCAGAAAAAGGCATCGAATAATAAATCAATTGAGTTTCAAAAATAACCCAATAATATGACAATTTAAACGGTTCAATTGTTTTCATTTCTATCGTACTGCTTAAACATTTTATCTTGGACGTTCGGATTACGCTGGACTTTAAATGGACTTATCCTCAATTTTTTTACGGCTGAACTTAACCTTTTCATAGAGCTTAAAATTTTTTTTAAACAGTATGAAGGGGGAGCAGTGAAACTACTTTAAAGCGAATAAAATAACAATTGTCTCTAATTCCATTTTTTTGTTAAAGCTGAGGAACTAGAAATATTTCATAGTACAACAATTTAAATACATAGCTCCATGCTTACTTTTAAAATAAAAATGTTCCTAAAAGTTTAAATATTTTTCTAAAAAATTAAAATAACTTATATCAAGCAGTTTATCGACAGAACAAAAATCTTATTATTTACCGATTGAAAAGAAATAAAATAGATAAAATTATATACACTCCTAAGAATTGGTATATTTAAATAAATTGATACCAGCGAAAAATACATATTTAAGGATGTATGTATATATTAACATAATGCAGTAAAAAGAGTATGGATGTCGCTCAGTACGGCTAACAACATATATTGCTGTATACAGATACTTCACGTAGTCAAGGTAGTGTCACTTGAGATGATCGAAGCGTGCATTGCACAGCTCCTTAATTTCTAGAACAAGAAGTCCGGAGTGTTCAATGATGAATAAATGAGCGTGTTAAAACTATACACAGTCTTGCGAAAATATAGTAAACATAACTCATAATATATATATGTTTATGCCGAAATGGCTATACTCAATAGCCCTGATCAGCTTATAGCTTCATTGAGATAAGATCCTGCGAACTCTTTAACTTTGTCATGGACGTAATCGTGCTCAGATGGTCATCATTATAGAACAATATTGCAAAAACGTGTTTAGCTACTTGCTTATGCTAATGACATCGACATTATTGGCTACAGGAAACATGATGTTACGATGGGGCAGTTTAAATGTTAACATTATATTAATATAATTTTAAAGAACACACAATAATCTTCAATGATTGTATTAAAATTGCATTTAGTAAGTCGCGAAACAACAAGTTCGCATCGCCTGCATCTTTTGTAGTTTTCACTTTGTTAACTTTGTGCATTGTATGTTGTGAATTTTCTTTAAATTTTAATTAAAATATAAAAATGAATGCTTTATGGCATAAAGCACTTAAGAAAAGTGGTTTTGCCTCTTCTGCTACTGACAGTTCTGGGGTTTTTAAATTTTTTATTTTGGCGTTTCATCTTGTGTGAACGCGTTTTCC